CAATTTTTCCGTGCAATACTGTACGGATTATACGCTTCTCACCGGTAAAGAGTTTGGCCGAGAGTTGTCTCCTTCCTTTTCTGGTCTACTACTGTTCTTTTCTACTTTGCGCCTGTCAAACTGAAGGTCACATGGCTACATAGTTGCAGTGGTTTTTACAAAATAAAGAGCAATTACCTCATTTTAGCTTTGATTACTTATATTTGCATAACGAGGGGAAGAACGGGAAATATAATAAAGGCTATAAGGTGTCGAATAATATATTTGAAGCAAACTGGATGCTGATAATCTGTCAACTGTGTAAGATGTTAATGTCTAAAATATGTAAATAACGGAAATTAAAAACAAAATCGTTGAAATCGTTTCAGAATGACGTTCGTTATGTCGAAATTACATACAGTCACGTTTATGTTGATTAATAAGGTGATAAAAACAAAGGAATTGTGTTTTTAATTTCCGTTATAATGGATTATCGCTAACACTGACGTAACTATATCATATGAGGCCCTTGTGGTAAATTTAACGGATGGGGCCACATCATGTAGTAGTTTCATTTATATAAGTCAGGAAGTAAAACATCTAGATATGTATACTTACCGATACTATTATAATTATTGGGTGCATTTTTGGTTAATTATCTAAATAAATTTTAATGTTAAGAGCGTAGGTATCATATTGAGAAAAAAATATTTCTAGCAAATACTCATTTCATTCTAGCGTAGCGCATGAACGTCTTTTAAAAATAGAAAGTGGGGATTCCCAGAAAATCACTAGCCCGCGCCATCAAAGAAGTGCCGCGGCGAAAAAATGAACTGAAACTGAGCTCTATCTTTTATTGTGAATGTGTTCAAATCTTAATAATTTATTTGTATAATTCGTGTTTATTCTTGAGTTAATAGATACGTAACACAAATTGATTAAATAGAAAATTAATATTTTTTATTTCAAGTTTCTTAATTATTACAATTAAATTTGTAATATCAACTAAAATACCTAGTAAATTTATTTTTGCTGGGATTTTATTTTACTAATTGTAATTTTTATTATTTTCGCTTACGAAGCAACAAGCTAGTGGGACAAATTGTAAATATCGCTTTAATATTTAGGTAAATTTTAGTTTTTCATTTTCTCCGTGCATAAAACGTCATTCGATTTTTGGAAAGAAGTTCTTTATCGTACCAACGTTACGTCGACAAGAAGGCAACCAATAAAAATCAGTTCCACCAGATTAATGTCTGTTTATTTTATATTTTTTTTTTATATTTCCCCAGAGATTTCCTCCTGGGAGGACCTACCAACTTAAACCCCTTTACCTCAGGCTATTAAGACCATTTGATTTTATCCTCTTCAGTCGATAGTAAAATCAACAACTACATAAAAAGATACACTAAACAAGTATCTCCTGTTACAGGACTGTTAACGAGATCTAGCCAAACTAGGTTCACAAAAACCGTCAAAACATTAATCAGTTCTTTCATGAAATTGATGATTCTTGGGTTTTGGTGGTTTATATCTTCACGTTTTACAAATTGCCAACGTGCAAATAATTTTTAAAATCTTGAACAAGAAAGTGAAGAAACTGGTAAACGAGTTTGATTGCATGTTACTAAAAGAATATTGCAGCTCTTCAATAGTATAATATCTACCCTGCCGCCGAAGAACATCATCATCTTAAGGTCGTCAGTCCTAAGACTGGTTGGACACGCACCACTACTCATTCCTACCGTGAGCTAATCTTCGCATTTCCCTAAAACTAGAACATCCCACATTCTTAACTATTTGCGAACATTAATCTAATTTAGGTCTACCTCTATCCCTCCTAACTCCCGTTTCTGCCTCTAATATGTCTTTCACTACACCTTCATGCCCGAGAAGGTGTCCTATCAATCTATCTCACCTATTTCTTATTGACTTCCATAGAGTCCTCTGTTCTCCTATTCTTTCTAATACCTTAATACCTCTTCATTTCTAATCTATCAAGTTCAGAAAGTAAAAACCCAGAGAACAAATTTTTCATCTTTATTCAAACTTTTAGATCGAAAGATACCATCATCTACATATTCGAAGAAGTTTTTACAACAAAACCTATATTTTTGCATAAAATTAAACTTTCTAACAAAATAAACAAACAAAAACGACATCGTCATAATATGCACGATTACTTACATCCATATAGACCCATCATCAGTTTTGCGAATCACGTTTACTACTTTAGGTAACGACTTATCGCACTTCAGAGATACATGAATAGCGTATAAAAGAGAATCCTTATAAAAAATGAAATTGAAAAGGTAATCTTTCGTAATATCGGAAACTGTCGTTAAGTTTATCGTGAAAATTTATACTTACTAAAAATGGTAAAAGATTAGTCTTCATACTGTGTGGTTTTTACCTTTGCCGTCGGTTCGGTAGCAACTTCCATGAGGAGGATGTTAAAATGCTTTCATAATAGCCAGTAAAAACGGTTTCTTTCCTGGGACGTGGATTTTCTGGTTCCGAAAATCAAGGAGGGACAGGTCTGTTAAAAATCGTATATGGGCATTAATAATTAATTACATTAATAATAATTCGAGAAAGACCGGCGACGGGGGAGAGAGGACAACGGCTGTATTACATGGATATAATGCGCGGAGAGCGGTGAGTCCGTTAGAGTCCCAGCGACGTGTGCCGTGCTCAGCTGTTGTTTTCTTGCCTCTGCTCTCCACGTGGCTGGGGATCATTGCCTTTATTTGCGGTCTGTGTAAAAACCAAATCATAATTTGCAGTAAACTTGTGAAAACGAAATGTGTACTGGGACACATAGTAGAAGTGAAACTTCAACGGACAAGTGGAAAAACAAATGGCAACGGACAAATGGAAAAACGTATCGCAATAAAATTTTTACTTTAAGTTTTACGGGCAAATTATTATGTCCAATTTGAAAACCTGCACACATTTCGTTTTTCTTACCAATGACTTCCATCATTCATAATGCCCTCCATTCTCCTACTCTTTCTAATACTTCCTCATTTCTAACCATTTCCATCCAAGGTAAATTAAATACGTAGGTACCATAAAAGTTTAACAGGTTTAATATTCACTGAAAGACCAGCGAAAAGGATCCCGTGCTGAATATTTTCTTTTAGTTCATGTTTTGAATCACAAATAACGCATAATATTGTTCGGCCTGCAGCTGATTTACATTTAAACGGGTCCCTCATTTCTGACATTAAGTTTAAAATCTCCATGTCACTTACATCTCAGATCCGTAAAGGACTGCGTATAAACTTGTTACACGGTTTTTATGGTTTTAATTCTGATTTTAAAAGGATTTGACCCTGCCTGTTTTGTCATCAGCCCATCAATTAAAACGTTTAAACTGGTAGTATTATGGCTTATTCAAAAAGAGGATTTTATGTCAAATATGAAAGAAAAACCTACGAAATGTCTCTATTGCTCTACAATCACCTTGTTGTCTTGTATTTGAAACAAAAGTTCACTCTTCTTTAAATAAGTCTTTTAAACTATTGCAATAAACCGTTCATTAGAAGTAGAGAATAACTGCACCTAGCATAGTCTTAGATTTAATCCAAAGGATCTGAGACACTTTTTAAATTTCTGTAAGGTTAAATTCAATGCATTAGCGAATTAATTGTTCGAATTGACTTTATCGACTACAAATAACTTTAAATTAATGACGAAAAATTGATGCTGCTCTCATTCCCTCGCCGAGAACTGAACCCGGCCCCCTAGTTTTACTCACCAGTACCCTAAGGGTACAGGTTATACAATCGTCGAATCAATGTACAATTATTATTAGTAATGAGGCACTTTTTGATTTTTTGTAGAGTTAAATTCAATGCAGTAGTGAATTAATTTTTTGAATTGACTTTACCCACAAGAAATAATCTCAAATTAATTAGGAAAACTTGATGCTGTTGTCACTCCTCCATCTGAAATCGAACCCCTGGTTCTATGCAACAGTATTTAGTTTAGAGTATTAGATTACCCATTAATTCAGGGTTATATGTAGTGAGTATAGTTAATTGAAAAAATTAATTCACTAATGCAACAACGTCTCGAAATCTTATCTACGAAGTTCGTTCACGTGATAATCCAACAAACAGAATAGCTCAAACCCCAACGCCAAAAAACACGACACTTTTGGTAACAAGGTTACCTTCTTCAGGGACTGAAGTGAACTGTTGTGAGCTATTCTGTTTGTTTTACAACAACCCTCGAAGTTTTTCCAATCTTCATATTTATGATATACCAAGTTGCTTGTTGTGAAAAGATTTTAGACAAAAACCTTAAAAAACTAGCTTACGCAAAAGTAGCAAACAATTATAATTAATATATATATCATATAAGTTTCAGTGGTTTCCATTTTGTTGCGGTCTATTGGAAGATTACTTCTTGTGATTTACATGAAATGCTGTCAGCACAGTGCAAAGTGGTATTATGTTAGTGAAAGTTAGTATCAGCCATTTCTTATGCTGAAATGTACGATGTGTTGTATACCTATTTACAAACAACAAACAAACAAATAATTACTATACATCTATTAAAAAACCATAATGGCCGACGTCAGTGACAATGCGACAACAATTGAAATAGAATGATGGCCGACAACAGCAACAATTAGAAAATAATGATGGCCGACACTACGTCATAGTGGAGCAATAAAAATGGCCGACTATTGACAATATGAATAAACGTAGAGCTAAAATATTTTATTTTTAAATTTGGACGTGAAAATTACTTTTTATAATGAGTACAGGAGCGGATCAAATAGGATGTTGCAGACAGTAAATTTTGCATCAATTTCCCGATTCACGTCCCCCCACCCCGCCCCGTATTCCATTATGTATTTCTTATAAAAATTAAAAATATCGCATTATTTATGAATTTTATACTTTGCCCTATTTTTTTAAGTCCAAGATCCGCCACTGCTACAAGTGTAGAGTTAATAAAATTCTTGTTTGTTGTGGCTCTTGTTTTATATTTAATTTTTCTTTCAGATTTATTGGTCGGGCTGGTCAATATATTGACAGACATAATATGGAAGATGACGATTGTTTGGTATGCTGGAAACGTTGCTTGTAAGGCTATTCGATATTTTCAGGTAACTTCTTTATAAAATATTCATCTTCAATACACTCATTTCTCTACTCTTTGATATACGTATAAAGTTCGTTCAATCGTAACCGAATCTATTATGTATGACAGCTACACAGATATGATATTTTTGCTAGTGACTTATTTTCTACTATAAAGAATTCTTTTAATAAAGCATGGGCTTTTTAGGGAGAATGAGAAATGTAAATTCTATGACAATTTACTTTAAACATGGAAATCAGATACAATAGATAAATAAAATAAATGTCAATAAAAGTTAAAAACGATATTTTATTTTTAAATGAGGTAAGCATTTTTGTTACATAAAAGCTTATTGCGAATAGCTACGACCTTTAAAGAAATAGTTTAATAACTGTTTTCATTACAACAAGCGTTTATTTCACTGCATTAAATACAAAAATGTTTATTTCTAGTAAATATCATTACGACATTTTTAATTACTAATAGTGGTTAATATGAAATAGTAATGTGAAAATTCATCTTCTATTTTCTATCCAATACAAACTACCACAGGGAAAAATATTTGTTGCTGTTGTCACACCTCCGCCGGGAATCGAACCCGGGACCGTTGGCTTTACACATCACTGCTCTGAGCATTAACCTGAGGTAGTTCGTAGTGGATAGAAAATCGAATTTTCACATTTATATTAACTATCATTGCGTACTCTCTACATCCTTGTAGATCTCTTTTCTTAAACGTTGGTAAAGTCCCTTTTTTATATTTAATGTTAAAACCTAGTAAAGCAGACTTAAAGTTTCAAAAATACTAAAAGAAAAGAATAGATTAAAGTTGATTCAAATAGATTAACTTATAAATCCACCGGAAGTAATAAGTTTTCGTTTAGTCTTGCGTATTTAGACTTGCTCTTACATTGTCGCTGGGCCAATACCAAGATCAATTTTGTTAATCACTAATTCCACATACCTAATTATTTACCAACAATGGTCCTATCTACTTAATCTTTCTTTGCCTCTTTTCCCTCCTGTTCCTGCTTCCAATATGCTACTAACTTGCTTTTTATTTCTCGATGCCCAACCGTCCTATCCCTTTTTCCTTAACTGACTTCCATAGCGTCTAAAATAATTCAAAGTGGTCTGTATTCTGTCGAAACTGCCAGACGCGGATCGCGATTTCGATCTTTCGGGATCTCATCAGCGCGTCGCAGGCAGCTGCGACAGAACACAGACCAACTTTTACCTGCTATCTTAACAGTGCGTTTCAGAAAATACTACAAACGGCACAGTAAACGCCATCTGTAGCACGATGCTACATTTATGTATTTTTCAACAAGGTCCACTTGTGTGGATATCTACTTGCTGAAAACGAATCCTGGCGTAGCCAACCTCAACCTGATAGGCACGTTAGCTTAATCGAATAAAATAATTCGAAGTGGTCTGTATTCTGTCGAAACTGCCAGGCGCGGATCGAAAAATACGTAATCCTAAAATGTAGCATCGTGCTACAGATGGCGTTTACTGTGCCGTTTGTAGTATTTTCCATAGCGTCATTTATTCTCTTTCCTTTTCCAATACCTCGAGGTTTATATAATACTTAGCCTCGGCAGTATTATTATCCGCCATCACATTTGAAATACTTCTAACTTCTTTTCTGTTCCACCCTGTCCACCGTCCAAATTCCTCATCCTTATAGAGTTCTGCTCCAAACATACACATCTAGCAACCATTAGCAAGTACGAAGTGATATCATTTTGCTTTTTGCCTACCGCTTTTTTGACCCTGAGTTCCTTTTCCTACAGTATTCTTTATGTTAGCTATTTGCTATCGTTTTCCGTACCAGTAAAAAGCTAAAATGTTCTCAGGCTTTCTCCTATTCCTCTTAAAGCTGAACTGGTCTACCCCTAATATTCCTTCCGTGCTTCCGCCCTCCGCGTTCTTCCCTTTGCAATTGTAGTAAGAAAATACGTGTAAATAAAACACAATACAGTACAGTACAATTTCGTAGCATCGTTCTTTCATATATTAAATACAAAATCATTAGACAATCTATTCGTAATATATTCGTTATCGAACCAAGTTGTACCGTCTCTTCTTCACTTGTCACATGTTCCCATCAAATATATAAATATACAGTTCGTCCTTTGCGGAAATTGAGTTTTCAAATTTTACCTACTATTTCAGAGTATATTTTAAGTTTCCCCCGAAATCAGTCATTAAAACGTATAATTACAATTAGAAAATTATTTTTTGCGATGTACCTAACCGCAAATTTTAAAGTTTACGTTTCCGAATTTTTTCCATTACTTGTAGGGTTGCCACCTCTTCAGGTTTTACATAAAGTATTTCTCAACTAAATGGTTTAAAAAAAAAAGTACTCAGCATAAAAATAAAGTATTTATTTTTTGTTTTTAAAAACATATTTTTTGTTACACCTAGCAGCCAGTAACAAATTGCTGTTGCTCTTAACTACATTTATAGCCTCTAAACATGGCAAACAAAGATTTAAGTAAACTCAAAGTTCATTTTAAATTAGTTTTAATGAAGCTTTATTCCTGTCGTCCCGCCGCTTTGCGTTCATAACAGAGAATACTCTTTCTGTAAATGTTGAAGTGGCCGGAACGGATAGCAAAAGTGAAACTACTTTGAACAGATATGGGAAATCAGGTTGTTCCGTAAATATGGCTTTCCATTTTTCTGTTGATGTAAAAATACTCTGAATTTAGAATAATTGCTTACAAAATTACGATGTTTACTTAAACCCTTAAATAAAGTATTTTTGCGTACTTTATGTGTCTCGTAAAGTATAACGTACGCACAGTCGAAATAGAGTATAATACTTTATAATAAAGTACGTGTGGCAACCCTGGTTATCTGTGCAAAATCTCTTGGTTCTAGGCCAAAGGAATATACCATACAGCTTTTGACGTGTGTCCAGACAGACAGACAGACTGAAGGACACACAATGACTGGTCTTATAAGGGTTCCTTTTTCCTAAAAACATGTTTATTGTTGTAAGAGGGATTCAGAAAATTTATGAAGCGCGTAAAACAAAATTATATATTACGCAACAAGTACTCGAAGCATTTTATCACACTCGTGTGATTTTCATTCTTGCTTCGCTCAGACGACAATATTCATACTCGTGCGAAAATCACTTGCGACGCGCACTTTTGTTGTATAATATACCATTAGGTTTACACCCTCCCTAAAATAGAACCATTAATATCTTATTACATAATTTTATTCAAATAATAAGCAATTAAGTATCTATTTATGTCTAATAGATTAAAGCGCTTGTTTGCGTTCTAACAATTAACAGGACTAACATTATTAGCAACACTCGATTGTTTAATAAAAATAATTAGTAAGTCTTCTGGGTTATCAGGTTTCGATATTAGTTTTGTTGATTTAGTGTCATCTGCCCTTCAGCGTCGTAACCAGGATTTGCAAAAATTAAAAGTGAAAAATGCTTCAAACCTCAGCTACGAAAAAATGAAACGTTTTTTCGTTTTTTAAGTGAACAAATAGCTAAATTTGTACATTCACTTTCCACTCAAGTTGATCTTGTTCACCACAGCAACTGGCCGAATCTCGCTTTATTCCTAGACATGGGAAGAAACTACATGTGGTCTACATTCGTGGGGACACCCTGCGAGGGGGTGTCATAACTAGCTGTATACAGTACATAATAAACGTTCCGTTAAGGGATGCAAGGGAAAAAAAGGGAGAACAGAGTGATAAAAATACGAGACGTAAAATTAGAAGCAATTTTTAGGAAGTCAGATAACTCAGGATGGAAGGAGCATTAGAGATATAAAACAGAAAATAGCGCAGGGTGAAGTCGCGTTTAACAAAAAGAAATCACTTCTAAGCTAGCGAATAGTTAATTTAGAAATTCGAAAAAGATTGCTAACGGTGTATATTTTGAGCGTGGCGCTGTACGGGTGCGAAACATGGACGGTGGGCACGGCGGAAAAGAAAAGGTTAGGAAAAGAAAGGTTAGGTTCTAAATGTGGTGTTACAGACGAATAACGAGGATACCATGGGTAGAGAAGGTTAGAAATGAAGAGGTATTAGAAAGACTAGGAGAACAGATGACTGTATGAAAGTAACTAAGAAATACGCGATATAGGTTGATGGAACACCTTCTCAGGTAGGAAGGGCTAATTGGAGACATATTAGAAGCAGAAAAAGCAGGAAAGGAAAAGATTAGGAGCGTTCGAAGTGTGGTGTTGCAGGCGAATGATGAGGTGGATAGAGAAGATTTGAAATGAGAAGGTATTAGAAAAAATAGAAATGAGGAGGTATTAGAAAAAGTAGGAGAGCAGAGGGCATTTTTGGATGTCAATAAGACATTCTCAGGCATGAAAATCTACTTACAGACATATACTGCTCACAAATAGTTAAGGATGTAGAATGTTCGAGTTTTAGGGAAATGCAAAGATTAGTTTAGGATAGGAAACAGTGAAAGTACGTGTGCAATTACTAACGACCATGTGATGATGATAATATGTATGTTATGAAAATTTTCTATAGCACAAGCTTTTATATATGTTTATGCAGCTAGAAATATATTTTTGAAAGACTTACAAGCCTAATGTTTTCTGTTCTAACTCTTATCAATACCTTCTGCAGACATATAAAGTGACTGTAATTGTTTAGTCCAATTATAGATACTACAAATCACATCCTATTATTAAACTTTCTCGGAAAATGTAACAGTTCTTTACACATATTAACGTTAATGTGTATACGTTTCTGCTTAGTGAAGAATAAAGTAGGCAGGTACCAAGAATTTCGACGCAAAAATGTTCAGTCTAGACTCTACAGTACTGTCACAAACTTTGATAACATCCAAACAAACACTACGTCGTGAATATTTTGTAAAGAAAGTATTATTTGGATATTTGAGGAGGCAATTCTACACCCTCAGAAATATGTGGCATCAATTAAAACGTAACTTATTTTAAAACGACTAAACATTTAATTATTCTTATTAACAGAACAATTTAATTCTGACTTATTGTGAATTACTAGTGGTTAATATTAAATATTAATTTTAAAATTCATTCTCAATTTTTTCTTTCACTATAAGTTACCTCAAAGTATTGAGAAATTTTTTTTGCTGTTGACACACCCTCGCTGGGAACCGAACCCAAGATCTTTGTCGTTACGCAAGAATGTTTTGATCACTAAGACCATTAAATTGAGGTAACTTATAATGGAAAAAAATTGAGAATTTCAAATTAATATTTAATTCTAACGTAAAAATCGGGCTAATCGGTCTATAATGTAATAGTGGTAGACACTCTGTAATAAAACCCGAGATACTAGGAATTTTTTATTGTTATTTGCACCCGTCAAGTAGGAGGAGTCTGAAAAACATGGCGCATGAAAAATTTTTCTATAGTTTAACGTCTAATTGTTTTTTTTTATTAGTATTCATACCCAATATGCGATTGGGTTGACGTAAACCCTCGAAAAAAGATTTTTTTTTCTGTCAATGAACTCAAATACCTGTCAAATAGGCATTATATTTTTTCCATAAATTCCAAATTTCATTACATTTTAATGAAGGGGATGATATTTTTACTTCAGAAAGTATTAAATTAATATTCATAGGATATCATTAATAAATTTGTTTGTAAAGTCCAATCGGGATTTGTTAAAAATTGCTTGGTTTGGCACTTTTGAGCCGGAACGTGAATTTTTATTAGGATATGTCTCCGGATGCTTGTTTGGAATAAGAATTCAATTCAAAGAACATTGCTAAATTCAGCAAAAATCTCAGGCTGAAAGAGTTTGCGTTTTAGGTCCTTATTTTTGACCTTTCAGCCAGAATATGTATGTTGTTGGGTATAGTGTTTATGTTAAGAATAAATAAAGGTAAATTTGTTGGCAATAATAGTTCGTATTGGAACATACTTTACAATTTGTATAAAAAAACTTCTGCTGATGCACAAGACTAAAACTTCGCAAAAAAATGGTTGAAAAGATATTGTTTTGGAAAATTTCTCAACGGAAATCGGAGAAACGTTTGATGCTTCTGAAAATGAAAATAAAAAGCTTGAAGTTATTATAAAAACAATAGTACAACGCTAAACACAATAACGATTAGGTTTTCGTACAGTAAATAGCTTCGACAAGTTTTTATGAAGTCACCAAATAAAAAGCCTTGGGCAATCATAACTGACAACTGTTTTGTGATTGCTTAAAGATTCTTGCATTTTTACTGGGTTTGCTAGATACTATCCTACTCTCTTAACTTCATTCTTGACTACTTATTAACTTTATTCACCCCTGCTAACAATTGTTAGTAAATATTTGGTAGAATATCTAGATTAGTTTATTAATTCTACTCCAGTAATCACTTTGTATAAATTAGGTAGATATGGTAGACGGAGTAGATGACCCACAACCCTCGTATTTCGTTGGTGAAAAGACATTAGTACAGTTTTTCAACAGATCATTTTTTTTTTATTCGTCCTCGAATTATTTTAAGGATATAAATGGTTCACACATTTTACCTACTGTAATTTTCTTTCAGGCAGTTATCACATATTCATCCACATACGTCCTGGTTGCCTTGAGCTTAGATAGATACGATGCAATCAAGCATCCCATGAAATTCTCAGGAAGTTGTAAGTTTATTGTTGAACTTTAATGGTGATAACATAAAAAATCATTTTAGGGCAGAAGGCCAGATGGCTGATCATATCTGCGTGGACATTTAGTGCGATATTTTCTGTCCCCATGCTCTTCTTTTATGAAGAAAAATACATACAAGGTAATTTCACGAACACTAATGTATTATGAAGAAACTAGATTTCCAGATTCTAACCTCGTCTAATTGATGAAATCCCAATGAATGATCATAGAGGCGTTAAAAGTGTTCAACGTTTCGTCTTTTATCACAAGAAGCATATTCAGGAACTTGACGTTGTTGATGCAGACGAAACGTCGAAAACTGACGGCCCGCGATGCGTTGATTTGACTATCCGTCACGACACGTACCGTTTTTTGCCGCGCAGGATCGTGTACATTCCCTATGATCCGTGTCGTGTATTATATTTATCCCATTCGTGTTTTGATGGAACGGAACGGACAAGTGTGTAACAGTCTTAATACGGTTTGACTCAACTTTAGCCGAAATACAGCCGTCGTCAAGTAAGGTCTTTATTTTTTAAGTGAATGCTCTGTATACCTATAGGCGGAGGATATTACGATTTTTTCTGTCACGAAAAATCGTTATGGCCGCGTGGATGGGGTAGACGGTATATCGCGGGGTGAGAGGCGGCAGCGCCAGAGGGAAATAAAGGCTAACGGGGACAGGAAGAGGGCAACGGCTGTATTAGATGGATATAATGCGCAGCCGCGCGGAGAGCGATGAATCCGCTAGAGTCCCAGCGACACGTGCTGTGCTCAGCTGTTTATTCTCTTACCTCTGCTCTCCACGCGGCTGAGCAACATTGCCTCTATTTGCGGTCTGTACAAGTACATTAACAATCTGCCCGTAAAACTTGAAGTAAAAATTTTATTGCGATTCGTTTTTCTACTTGTCCGTTAAAGTTTCACTTCTACTACACATTTAGTTTTTAATTTTTAAGAAGTTTGTGTTTATTCAATACAAGTCTCACCCTTAATTTTTTCTTGTATGCTATTTATATTGAGATATAGGGGAAACGACACACAACGAACAAGAATATTTTTTAAATCGTTCGTTTCAAACTTCAGTTTTCTTTTTTTTTTTTATCAGGTAAATTGCAGTGTTGGATTGATTTCCCACACCTTTGGCAATGGAAATTGTACATGAGCTTGGTATCGACTGCCCTTTTTATCATACCAACAATAATAATAGCCACGTGTTACACAATAATTGTTCACGTTATAAGATCAAAGACTATAATTCAGGTTTCGAAGAAATATGAAATCCGAATGGGTAAGTACAACATAAATAGAAATTCAAACACGATAGAACTTCCTATTGTAAAGTTTGTGAAAAAGCTCTTCATTTATGACATTAGCGAGTAAAACTATTGATTTATAGTGAACGAGTTTTGGTGATACTTTTATTAATTTGAAGATATAAAACTGTCAACTGGTCACCCAGTTTGACATCTCCAGATTGTTTCTTGTTCGGCGTGATATCATTGGTTTATAGTAATAAACTAGGAATAGGTATTAGATGCTTTAGAATCCAGTATTGCCCATTGCTCCAAAAAGTGAGGACTAATTTCATCAAAAACAGCTGCAATAGCCATATGCCTCAAATCATTTCTGAATATTAACAATTGAGATTTCCAACAAAAACAGATTTTTGACCAAGAGTCAATTTTTGAAGTGTTTATAAAAGTGTAAAGTTTAATAAATTTACAAAAGATCCTATACACCTGAAGGTTAAAATACTGAAAACGTGAAGACTGGAATCTCTCGCTTTTATTTATATTCCTATACTCCGGTCAATTTAGGAAGGCGAAGTCGGCAATTAATTATTAAACTTAAACACATAAAGCGATGTAAGGATAAACTTAACTTAATTATCAATAAAGCGACATAATACATTATATTCTCTTTGTAATACTTATGACAAATTTATTGATAAAAAATAAAAATCATATGAGTTACATTTTAATGAAGGGGATGATATTTTTACTTCAGAAAGTATTAAATTAATATTCATAGGATATCATTAATAAATTTGTTTGTAAAGTCCAATCGGGATTTGTTAAAAATTGCTTGGTTTGGCACTTTTGAGCCGGAACGTGAATTTTTATTAGGATANTTGGTACATACGTATATATTAAGAGAAACATAATAAAAGGGTTCACAACTTGCTGGACATAACAATATTATTTTAGGGATCTTCTATTTGCAGATTGTGGTCGATGGAAGAAAACTGTAAGTCGCGGACTTATACCTAGGGCAAAGGTTAAAACGGTTAAAGTTACCGTTGTTATAGTAAGCGGTAAGTTTATTTAAAACAAATACTTTATTTTTACAAAATTCAATTACTGAAATTTTCACCGACATTCATCATATGTATAACGTAGGCCAGAAAGGATTTTTTAAAATTCAACCCCTAAGAGTGTCGGATTCCTGGAAGGCTTCCTCAAACCTACCGACTAAAACCCCTCTACCTCAAGCCGTTATAGAGGAATTTTAGTGAACAGGTCCGCGGATGTCCATTTTTGCTTGTTTTTCTATTTGACGTTTCTTTTCTCCAAATTTTTTGTATTAGCCGCTAATGTTAAAATATAAAACTAACGAAAATATTTATTGCTATTACTAAGGTCAATTTTCATTATAAACTCTGTTTTCATTTCATAATATCGATTCCGTAAACGTTCGATACAATTTGATAATGTTCACACTTGAGCATTACGTTTCCTTTCCTTATCAGTAAACTATAGAGAAGGTAATGTGAAAGTATATGTAGTCAGAAGAAAATTTAATGATTTTGAATGAGGAAGAGTGTTTGCGATAAGAAAAGGAAATAAATGCCTTTGGATTCACAAAATATTGACGGAAGGAATTGTTGATGAATGGATTCATGTTACAAAATTAACATCTATGATCTTGTGGCTAGGAGCGTTTGGCTTATATTAACAGACATTTGTTTAAATACCACCTTCGCCAACATCCCAAACCAAGCATTAAATCCCTTTCAAAAAGTCGTTCAATGGTTAACCAATGGATAACTTTTTGCAAGCAAGTGTTTATTGCTAACAGTAGTATTTCAAATACTTGAAACTTTTACTAATATTTACAACTAGCAATAAACTACAATCTACTCTGAAGAAACCGTGTACAAAAAATTCGAAACATGTATGTTGTTTGGAGTAATAAAATGTTCCCACTTAGCTTTAATTTTTACAATAACATCTTGAGAAAATGGAAGGAATGAAAAATGAACAAACACAAAACTTCCACGTTAAATACTTTAAAGTTGTTCTGTTATAAAGGAATTTGTGCTTAATTTTGCTTGATTGATAAATTCGCAATTAAAATTAATCGTTAAAGTCAGCTTTAGGCAATAGTTTAAAAAATTTTAATGATTTATTTTTGTTTTGAATTTTCAAATTAATCAACTCGGTTACATCTTTTAAAAGCTGCCTCGGCACGTACCAACAGTACATAGTCAAAAGATGCCGATACGTTAAGGGGATTCAGTAGTACACGCGCCGTAGAATAAAAACATGCTTATCGGTTCTAGATACCATGAGTTTAATGTTTAGAATAGAGGTTTGAAATTTTGTAGTAAGATAGATAAAGCTTTGTTTTAAAGTCTGTCGAAGGCAATTTTTTAATTTCTTAATTTCTATTGAAAATACGTGTCCTACAAGAAGCATCAAATTTAAGCACTTGTAAAAGCTGTTAATGACCATATTATTGAAAACTAAAAACGTGTCGAGTTAGTGTGAACCTTTATTTGTTACCATAAAAAAAATCAGATATTTATCTCGCAACATTAAATCACAATATTTAAAATAGAAACCCATATTTTCGGAAAAATTCACGGTAGGCACGAGCGGTGTATTGCGGTCAGTTTCCTTAATAAATGACACCGAATCCTTTTCTGTTTACCGATTGCATCCGCGAATAATGAAATTTTTAGCCGCGAATACAGGAACTGGGATGCAATTTTTTCACCCGCGAATAAGGAAATCGTGAATAAGGAACTTTTACTGTACATAATCTTATCTTGAGTCTTCTCTTTTAGCAAGATTAAAGCTGGGCCTATAAAGTCAATACTCGTTTTACTTATCAGTAATGGTTTCTTAGAAATAATAATTAGGTATAAATAGTTTTTGTATGTTTGGTGTTTTTGTCTTTCAGTTTTCATAATTTGCTGGAGTCCCTTCATAATATTCGACTTATTGCAAGTTTACGGGTTCGTTCCGCAAACCCAACAAAATATTGCAATAGCCACTTTCATGCAAAGTTTGGCGCCATTAAACTCCGCCGCCAACCCTATAATTTACTGCGTATTCTCAACGAATGTGTTCAAAAGTTTGTGGTAAGTACAAATTAATTTTAAATGTCTATAATTTCTAACTTTAACCTCACTATTTCATTTACATTATTAGGAATGTTGAGACCTCTTGTGAAAATTGAAAGGGATTTTTGACAGGTAAATATTGGTTAAGAAAAGCATAGTGGAAGTTTACTTAAAATTGTCAAAAATTAAAAAATTAAATAAAATATTCGTTTTTCTTGTTTGTTATTGCTANTTAACATCCAATAATTTAATTAAATATTAACTCTGCCGATTATCTCAAACTAATGAGAAAAAATTGTTGTTGCTGTCAGATCCTCGCCGAGCATCGAACACGAGACCTTCGGCTTTACGTACCAATGTTCTGATCGAACGTAAAACCAGTGACCTTTATTGGTTTATATAATTACTATTAATTAGATCAATAGTGAATTAACTTTTTGAATTAACTTTACCCACTACAGATAATATCAAATTAATGAGAAAAAATTGTTGTTGCTGTCACTACCTCGTCGGGAGTCGATCCCGACCCCCTGGTTTTACGCACCAGTCTTTTATTACTAAGCTACGAAAAGGTGAGTACTGGTGCGTAAAACCAGAGTCTTGGGTTCGATTCCCGGCGTAGGAGTAACAACAGTAACAATTATTCTTCAATAATTTGAGGTTTTCTGTAGTTAGTAAAGTTAATTCAAATAATTAAATCACTACTGGATTGAACACGAAATGTCTTGTTATTAATTAGGTTTTTATTAAGTTAAATTAGCTTTCGTATTGTTTTGTTTACATGTCAGAAACCCCCGTATGACCATTTCGGCTTATTCCTAACTAGAGATCTCACCATTCCTTTGGGTTACGAATACGGATCCCATAAATGCCTTTTCCAAAGCAGTTTGCAACGCTGAGTTCCAATTAGGTCTCAAAATTATCTCAGTACGTTAGAATTTTGAAATATTCTAATGTCAAAACGCAAAAATTTGCAATCGTTAACATTTTTGACGGTTATCGAGAGAGAAGTCATATCTGCAATATCCCTTCAGCCTTTAGCGACAAAAAATGACTTAAAATGCCGATTTTAGCTAAAACCAATGCAGAGGTTCAAAACATTTGCTATTATAGTCAGTTATTTACGCGATCATGAAATAATTTTGATTATTTTTGGAAATTTCCCATAAGTTCCTTTTGTCGTGCCAGTTTTGTCTGCTATATAAACATGCCGTCAATATCGATTGCTTGCGGCATTCATTCTTAACAACAGGTGGTACGTAAAGACGTAGCACCTGTTAACACCAAAACATTACCTACCATAGCATTTAAATGTAGGCTGTTCATTTTGACGTATAAATAATTAATTTCGCCACTGATATTTCGCTTTTTAATCCACAAAAAGAAAAAGTAGTAACCGTAACCGAAAATTGTTTATCTAATATTTGTGTGTAGGACCACTTTATCAATTTTTCTTGATTGGTTACTCCTTTTTAGCAAATTTTTACAACGATGTCGGCCGATGTCTCGTAAAGAATCGCCCAATCCAACGAACACTCAGAGCAGCAGTTTGACGGAGTTTTTAACCAAAACAGACACCCAACAAAAGAGAAAAAATACGTTGGTACAGTACAAAAATAGACGGACTGAAGTACACTTATAAATGTGATATGTATTATATGTATTTAATTTAATAATAACTCTATATATTTAATTTAAAAATAATATATGTTTATAAACTTTACGGACTGATTTATACGATCGGGCCATCGGTCGAAAATAAATCTGTTTATTTCAGATTTACTCAGTGGCCTATACTTTTGTTGACTTTTTAGGTACCTACACACCTAATCCACGTGATACAACAGGTTCGTATATATTTTTATCTTTTCTTATAAAATGCTCTGCATTAAAACTTCTTTTATTTCACCAAATGTGATTTTGTTGTTGTGAGGTAAGTACTTATAGGTAATTGCAATTTTAAATAATTAAATTTTTAACCAGTACGGCATGATGCATAATAAGGTTCAGGAACTTGCACGCACTCCAAAGTGTAAAGTTCCGTATTAGTCAACTACGAACCCTCATAGATCGATCAGTTCATCCGTCTGTTTGTATGTATGTCTCAGCTCTCTCATATCCCATCCTACCATTTATATTATAACTTCTACTGTTCAGATTGTATTAATACTTCTTTGAATTTAATACGTATTATGGTAGGTATACACGTTATCTGTTTGTATAGATCTTCCATGATTAAGTACAATATGTATACATATTGTTGTTTCTACCACTCACCCATTCCACCCTCCTCTTATTCCCACACAACCACTCAACCCAAAGTTACCATTTTATGTTTGAAAATATGAAACCGACAGTTCTGATCCAGCCTTCGAATAATAAACCATTACTTAAAAACTTATTTTCTTCACTTCATGTTTGGAAAAATAATTTTTTAGGCAGGTCTCATAAAATGCTGTCAATTTTATGTCAGGATCTTCTGATTTGAACCTTTCACCCAAAAAGTATTTTTGCTTTTAAGATCGCTAAGTATTAAATCTAAAATTAAACTATCAATGCAAAATGCTTGAAAAATCTGCTATGTAGCCTTTAGCTAGTGCTTTTAATGGAAATTATAATTGGATTAAAAAGATAACACTGTTATATTAACCCATATTTACCCAGAATAATTTTGATTTGAAATTCGTGTTATTTTCTGCAAAGATAGATAGGTTCCTGTTGGTGTAAAAAGTTTTAAACCCAGACAATGAATGTCCCGTTTTAAGGGTGCAACTCCTGCCGATCTTCTCAGTGTTGCAGAACTTGATCAAGATAATGTTGCTTTAAGTTCGATTGAGGCTGTAATTGTGTTGTCTACAGATATTGAAAAAAGAGGATTCAAGTCATGAAAATGATGTTACGAATTTGTCAACCTCCCAACTACAAGCAGAAGCTGAAATATTTGGTGACAATTCCAAAGAATGATACCCCGTTGATTCAATTTCACCAGATTATTAAAAAAAATATGTCGAGGATATGAAGAAAAAATATCTATAAACAGTAAGAAAGCGATATAAATAATTCACGATTTGATTTCAAATGACCCGCTTCTCGTTTACCTGTCAACAATTCTTTTGAAATTATTTGAGGGGTTTGTAAATATCAACAATTTTGATATTCATTGAGCAAGGCCAGAAATGATTCCTTGATTTCCAAAACACTAATAAGGGAAGATTGATAGCAGGAAAATGAAAAATAGGCCACCAGAGACTAAGTTGTGAATAATCTGCATCACTTTCTTCCTACTTATGCGTCTTTTTTCTTCCTGTTCTCAAAATACTTTTTTGATACAATTATTATTTGAGAACGGGATATCATCCTCGGAATCACATTCTTCGGAATTTTAGCCAAATAATTCATCCTCTGCTCATGGTTCAGAGGCCGGAAAATTGCTAACATCATTTTCGTGGCCCGAATCCTCATCTGTCATTGCATCGTAGGCGGCATAATTGAATTTAAACCAACATTCGCTTCATCGTTTTTTACTAGATACATTGAGGAACCCGACAAGAGTTACGCTCCTAAAAAATGCGTCTATCAACCCAGTGTCCTTCCCGAAGGACACCTATATTTACAATCATATAAAATTCATACCTTTTCTTGAAATTTAAGATCGCATAATGAGAATTATTTGTTCATATTATGCGTCTAATTTGAATGGCTTGAGACCTCCAATAGTTTTATGAGAATACTCATTGCACTATTTTGGAGTCGTGGTGGGTATCCAATATTCGGTACAATCAACTCCTTCCACTATAGATAAAAAGTATAGGGTTGTTCGGAAAGTCATTTCGTTTTTTTTTTTGTGGAAATGAAAGACAGTTTTCGTATAATAAATAACAAATACTTTATTAAATTATATATTGACCGTTCTGGTCCAACACCTTTTGCCATCTTTCTGGTAGTAGCACAATTCCACGCTTATAAAATTTTTGGTCTTTGCTGGCAAAAAACTGATCGAGGAGGTTTTTGACCTCCTCATTTGAGGTGAAGGTTTTACCGACTAAAAAATTTTGGAGTGACCGGAACAAATAATAATCCGATGGTGCCAGGTCTGGAGAATATGGTGGGTGTAGCATTGTATCCCATTCAAGCTGTAAAAGCTTTTGGCGAGTGACCAAACTTGTGTGAGGTCTCGCGTTGTCTTGGTGAAACACTACACCTTTCCTGTTGATTAGTTCTGACCTTTTCTGTTGAAGTGCATCATTCAGTTTGTCCAGCTGATGACAGTAGACTTCCGAATTAATCGTTGTGTTATCCGGTAAAAGCTCAAAAAAAACGATTCCTTTAAAATCCCACCAAACAGACAGCATCACCTTTTTTTGGTGAATATCGGCTTTGGAAATGGTTTGAGCCGGTTCATCTTTTTTGCTCCATGACCTCTTGCGTTTGACGTTGTTGTATACAACCCATTTTTCGTCCCCAGTGATGATGCGCTTCAAAAACGGATCATTTTCGTGACGTTTGAGAAGCGAATCGCAGACGTCAATGCGGCGACACAGATTTCTCTCTGTGAGAACATGGGGAACCCATACATCGAGCTTCGAGGATAATCCCAGGCCTTTCAAGTGGTCATAAACTGTTGAATTTGATAAATTTAACCTCAATCCGATCTCACGTGTTGTTATTCGCCGGTTCACATCAACTAATGCCTTTATCGCGTCTTTATCAGCTTCAACCGGCCTTCCCGAACGTGGTGCATCTTCGACATCAAAATTGCCGGATCGAAATTTAGCGAACCAGTTCTGGCACTGGCGTACTGTCAACACACCTTCTCCATACACATCAGTCAATTTCTTTCTGGCTTGAACAGCATTTTTACCCTTTCTGTAGTAAAACAGTAAGATATGTCGAAAATGCTGCTTATCGCTCTCCATATTTAAAAGGGCACCAACCAAAAACTACTGCGTAGAATTAATTGGATTTTTTCACACACAAGCCTTGCTATATGAGCTCTCAAAGCATATAAAAATTATACGGCTTAAGTGTGAAGTTGGGTGCAAAAGAATACAATTAAATCCTCTGTCGGGAAAAATCGAAATGACTTTCCCAACAACCCTATATTTCCAAGGTGAAGGGTTGTGGGTCAGGATATTACAACTAGGTTTAATCATGTATTTATTTGGAAGTATATATTTCATCATCAGTTAACATTCTTTTAATGCTTTTTCAAATTACATTTTCTTTGGGATGGCGTTGCACAGTCGGGTAGAATGCCTGAGAGCTAGCCAAAATTAAAAGAAAAACAATGCATAATTACCCTGACGGGAACGGAAGTTGCGCGCGCACTGCTTATGAAAATTCGGCTGCATGAAGTTAGCAGCGTGACAACTAATTAAAGAGAATGTCTTAGAATAATAGAAAACATTGTTTATTAGTTTAATTACAACTTGTAACATAAAAGTAATAGATACACCTTTTTCTCCATTTTAATAATTCGTAGGATGTTTAATAGTACGTACCTATTATAATAATAAAAATAAATTTCATGAATTTCAAGAATGCAATTTTTTACACACAATTTATTGTCAGTGAAAGTGACATGGCAAAGCAAAATAATCGAAAGATCTCTTTGAAAACTCTAAGGTGGTATTAGTTTATGGATGAACGTAATTACTTTCCCAATTAATAAAGCGTCATATTCTAGTTTAATTAATTTGTTTTTGTTTCTTATTTGTACCTACCTAGTTAATAGCAAGTCATCTGGAGTAGTTATATAAATCAATTACGTAGACTAGACAAAAGTTCTGTAGCCGAAAATTCAATTTTTCGAGTAAATTTATGGAGAAAGTTTCTTCCAAGAATATTTTTTTGTCCAGACTACAATATTCTCCCAGTAAAAGATTACGGATTAAACTACTAAGTCCTACTCGACACTTCATAACGAATTAGGTCAACTTTTCGTCGCTTTTTTTCATTTTAATCATGTCATTATTACTTCTCTGAGAAAACTTACAAATTTAAATTACAATGTTTTTTCTTTCATTTTACAAAAAGTTACTAGCAGACGTTTGAGGACTTTATAAGTGTAGGTGTAATTCAAATCATGTTAATTATTTCGTCTGAGTTTTATAACAATAAAATTAAAATTACACAAGAATAAAGCATATAAAGATTTTGAATTTTTGTATATTCATTTCAATGAAATCAAACAACAATATTTTAACAATATTTTTTTACAAAAAATTTATAATTAGTTTTATTTATTAGTATTATTGTTCAAAAATAAATGCCATGCTCTTAATACCAGGTAGGTATTTTTTTAATTGGAACACGTGAAATTAATCTACGAATTAAGTTTCAATCAGATGACACCTTACTCTTTTTATTGTAGGGTTGCCACCCGTACTTTATTATAATTTTGTAAGCGATTATTCGAAATTTAGAGTATTTTTTTATCAATAATATTACACAGAAAAATGGCAAGGCATATTTACGGAACAACCTGATTTCCCAAATCTGTTCAAAGTAGTTTCACTTTTGCTGTCCGTTCCGGCCACTTCAGCATTTAAAACTAATTAAAAATGAACTTTTAGTTTACTTAAATCTTTGTTTGCCATGTTTAGAGGCTATTAATGCATTTAAGAGCGACAGCAATTTGTTACTGGCTGCTAGGCGTAACAAAAAATATGTTTTTAAAAACAAAAAGTAAAATACTTTGTTTTTATGCTGAGTACTTTTTTTTTAACCTTTTAGTCGAGAAATACTTTATGTAAAGCCTGAAAAGGTGGCAACCCCATAGCTACCGCTTAGAATTATGTATAGTAGATATAGTTACGAAATAAATTTTATATGGTGTGCAAATCACCCTTCATTATTATTATTTTAGAGACTTTTTGTGATAAAACTACTAATGATTTAAAAGCGTATTACCCTTGGTACTACACAGCAAAATCTAACCGTTAAGCCCCTAAAGTAAAATTTACTTTATTGAAACTTCTGAGTCGTGGGTGTAATAACAGAGCATTCCCTGTATAAAACTAACAATAAGTAAAATTTATGGAAATAGTAATAAATGCTAAAACTTCATTAGCTCTGAGTTGTTTATGCATATAAGTTTTAACATAAGCACTTGGTAGGTAATGCCCTATTAAATTTTAACTTACAGTGGCGTAGCGTGGGGATTTCACAGGGTGTGATAGCCTCAAGCGGTGAAGATGTGAGAGGCAACAAAAATATTTTCTTTGTTTTTAGTTAGGGAACGTACCCATAATACGTCACCCATTTTTTACCTCCCTCCTCTGCGACCACCCGCAGTATATGCCTATACCCCCTCCCTCCAGTTTTCATGTAATAATTCATAAATATGGTTTTAAATCATATTTTGCAAACAGAAAGTTTTGAATATAGTTAGAAAAAGTGACCAACTGTAGTATTTTTAAGACCATTCTCCTCCCCTGGCAGGTCACGTAGTATGGGTACGTTCCCTTAGATTTAGGCACGCCATGCAGTAATGTTAGATGCATCCATTTCTTGGTATTTGTACCAGATTTTAATAATTTGTACCATATATATATAATAGCCAAAATAGTGAAAACCAATGTACTAAAAAATATATTATTCATGCATCCAAACTATTCCAAAATTAACTGTCGAAGGAATAAGAAAAAAATAACTTTTATTTTGAAACAATATTCTTATCAATACATGACAAAAATTGGCTATTTTATTATTGAGTTTACAGTTATGAGTTCAAACAAATATCTTTAGTGGATCCAGATCTAATAAGGAGATTCAATTTATTTCCAATGTGGCCATTTGGGTTGGTCACTCCTGGTCTAAACTCCCAATGTTCCTCACAATATAGGTATAAAAATTGTAACAATCGTAGGGAAGCATACCAAAAAACAAAATCACGAATCTCCCACTAGATTATAAGATCGGGATCGTGAAGGCGTAATTAATACTCAATTTGAAGAACTGAAATCTTTAGAATCCTTAATAAAACCTAAGATGGATCCTCATACTGTTCTGAATTATTTGTATTTGGCGATTATACTGCGCATTTGCTTGTTTTACGTATTTGTTTCTGTATAAATTAACACATTCTGAATTGAAATTAATCATTTTAATGTAATTTAGAAATCTTATCAGGGGCGCAAAATTTGAGTACGAGTAATTAGGGTTTTTACCCTGGCAGTGGATAATGTATCTCTTTAAATTTGTTAACATTCTAGTCAAACTTACGGATGTTTTTGTAATGAAGCCGGCGAATCAAAATCGTATTTTTCAACATATTTTGCAATTTGAAGGTCACAAATAGACCATACATTTTCAATTTACACTAATAACAAACGCTACTTATTTTCTCAAACAGTAAATTAAAAATATACGTTTTCGTGTACACCTATTCACTGCAATCTCAACTAATTTAAATACAAAACATTAATTGCAAAAATAGAATGAGCTGCAAATTTATGCTTCGTCCTGGGTGGCAGAAATTCACGTTACGCCACTGTATAGACGGGCCTGTATGTATTTCAGAAATTGTACGAATTTAAATTCTGTAAAAGTTTAATGGATTTGAATGTCAATTCTCACGAGTAATAAGTAAGAGGAATCAAACTGAAATACACTTTCAAATTAATATAATAGATACGATCTCTTCTTCATCTTTAAAAAAGATTTTTTTGCTGATTATTCACAATATTTCCAACATTGATGTTACTAATTATATCTTTGTGGTATTTAACTATAGGCAGTTTTGCAAAAATTATTTATATATAATCGTTTATTTTCGAAATACTCCAAACTTTGTTTCTGTAAAATTTGTGATAGAAGTTTCTTTAAATTTATTTTAATTTATGGTTCTCTCTCTGAATTCAATTAGATATTTTTAAGAAATCATATTATTTTATTTGTTTTATAGCAATTACAACTGCTAAGAAACAAAAACGTAGATAAAGCATTACCTATTCTTACAAAAGTGACATATGCACCTAAAACTGATAGTTGCTTAGTCCTTTTACTCCCGTTCACTCCATTTCTTGAATTCATAACATTTTGGAATTATTTAAGCTTTTAGATATAGATTTTTTTGTTTGATAAACTAAGAGGACCTGCTGAAATTATTCCATGTTGGAACAATATTGTTAGTAAGTTACAAATATTTTTTATTGAAACATTTAGTAAAAGTAATGTATAATTTCATTATGAAGGACTTTGCTTTGGACAGTTTTCATCTAATGATGATGCAGTGTTTAAATAAAAACAAGCAAACTTAAAAATGATAAATTTATTTGAAATAAAATGAGTCAAGATACATTTGATTATTCGGACACAAAGTGAATTTGAAACATTCCAAAAATTACTTTTCATATATTTACAAAAACGGGCAAGAATATTGACCTATAGGGCACAAACGGAGGTTAAACAAACTGAGGATGAAGATGACGATAATAAATTAAATAATAATAAGTACAACAAAAATAGTCTCAGGCCTATTGGCCCTTCAGCTTTCTATATAAATAGCGCTACAATTTGTGCTGCAAAATAACTTTTAACAAAACTGTTATACCAATAAATACAATCCATATCATCTACACTCAAAATAAACATATAATAATATGCATGCACTGCATACTTAATAGTTGTAATACAACATAAAATTTTTCTTTGTTCTTTTTAATTAAATGCTCTAAACAACAGATAAAATGCAAGGCCCAATAGTTTAAAAGCACTCGAAAAACTCCTTAAGGAGGTGATACAGTCCACAACTTTGTGTTTGCGTCCTGACCAACAGATACCAAAGTCTGGTCATCCAGCCATGACAGTCTTGTTATTTGATTTTGAGCATGGGCATCTGAAACAAAATAATGACAACACCTTGTAAATTTCATTCTAACAAAATGAAAATAAGTATAAATTAACTAGACTACATAGTGCCAAGATTAACTTCTTCTATGTTTTTGAGTTTTATGCGTCTACAGACACATGTACTATTCATTTAATAGCACTTATGTCCGTCTGCAAGAACCCTAACATTAACGCGAAAATATTTTTATGGTGCGCAGTTCAGTCACGCACGCGCAGAGTGCCGAGACTTACATACGTGTATCTTTGACTTATACAAACTCTATTCTTATTGCTATTAAGTATTACATACAAATTTTAACAAACTACAAATTTTTGTAATTCCTTTAACATGTTAATTATGGTGAAACATAAAAGAAAATATTAAATTCAAAACCAATATGTACAATTTTACTTACTTTTGATAGTAAGATGCTTAGCAGGTTTTTCAACAGACCAAATGATAATGTTTGTGTCTAAGGACCCACTTGCTACTAGTAGAGAATTCGGTGACCATGCTACGCAGTTTACACGGGCATTGTGGAATCCCCATTCTTTATTATGAGCCAGCTTAAAAAAGCATATAATTTTATTTAAATTACTGTTTTAACTTTTGAAATATTCAATGATAACATGGAGATGCAAAATAAAAATTTAATTGTACACCCAAATTGATGAAAACAAAGCAAGAAAGGAATTTAATGCCATTTTTTATTATTAATAATATCATAAGCATGCTTACCATTTATAAAAATCATTAAAAAAAGTAAGTGTAAGTATCATGCTATAAAACTTACCCTCTTAATTTCCAAAGGTAAGAAATAGAATAAAGTAAATTTCAAATGCATAAATTAGAAAGAAATATATACATACGAGGGTGGATTGATAAGTTTCCGGCCTGACCAAGAAAAACAAGGTTTTTAAAAATTTTTTTTTTTTATTTCTCAACATAATCTCCTCCAAGGCTGATACATTTCTCATAGCGGTGTTCCAGTCTATTAATGCCATCTCTATAGACTGATTCGTCAAGCTCCTCAAAATAACCATTTACAGCTTCGATTACTTCTTCATTGTCCGCAAATCTCTTACCGCCAAGCCATTTTTTGAGATTAGGGAACAGAAAATAGTCACTCGGGGCTAGGTCTGGAGAGTAAGGAGGGTGCGGCATCAATTCAAACTTTAGATCGTTGATTTTAGCCGTCGCAACGATTGACGTGTGCGCTGGTGCGTTATCGTGATGAAACAAGATTTTTTTCTTCGCCAGATGAGGTCGTTTAATTTTCACCTCGTGGCTCAAACGTTGCAATAAGTCTGCGTAGTATTGACCAGTGATAGTATTACCCTTTGCAAGGTAATCAATGTATATAATACCTCTTGCATCCCAAAAAACAGTAGCCATAACCTTGTTCGCCGAAAAAATTGTTTTTGCCTTCTTTGGAGTTGGTTCCCCTGGTCCAATCCACTGTTTAGACTGTTCTTTGGTTTCAGGAGTGTAGTGGTGGACCCACGTTTCGTCAACGGTTACGAATCGACGCAAAAATTCGCTTGGATTACGCTTATACAATGACAAATTTGCGGTAGAAATGTTTTTTCGAATCAATTTTTGGTCGACTGTTAGCAAACGCGGCACCCATCTTGCACAGAGCTTTTCCATATGCAAATGTTGGTGCAAAATATGTTGCACACGTTCATATGACATCTTACAGGTCTCAGCTATCTCACGCACTTTCAATCTGCGGTCTCCCAGCACTATTTGATGAATTTTTTCGATCATATCTGGAGTTGTGACCTCAACGGGGCGTCCTGAGCGAGGCCCATCAGAGGTGCTCACACGACCCTTTTTAAACTCGGAAACCCACTGCTTAACGGTTGAATATGACGGGGAGGATGTCCCCAGTGTTGAGTCCATCTCTTTTTTAATTTCCTTCGGCGTTAACCCCTTCAAATAAAAGTATTTGATGACAGCACGATTTTCCTGCTTTTCCATTTTTACGAAAACCACAGAGGCGTCTTGTTCAGCGTGCTGTCAAACCTACACTAGCAAGGAGATCGGGCTGAAACTATAGCTACAAGCTATCCAAGGATGGTACTATAGAATGTCACCTCAAGGTAGGCCTAGTGGCGTCATCTCTTGGTTAGGCCGGAAACTTATCAATCCACCCTCGTATATGTATAAACCGTACACCGTCTTATGTTGAATAAAATTAGAATTCATATGTGATTAGAAAAGTTATTACAATATACTTGTTTTTAATCCCAGATATTTGCAATCTAACTTATAACACTCTCTTTATTTATAATTAATTTGACTTTCAAATCAGAGAATTTAAGTATAAAAAATTAAAGACATGATGATGAATGAAATGAAAACCAAGACAATCTACATTTGAAAAATGTCAAACTATGAAGACTGCTTAGGTAATTTTGTATTTAATTTAAAACAACTTTAGAATTACAATTATTTTTCAATTTTCTTAAAATAACTATAATTTTTATCAATATCAAAAATAAAAAAAAGGTATCAGTTTAGATTTCAAAAATTTTTACGCGTTTCAAGATAAAAGAAAAAGTTTAAGTGTAAATTCAAAACTACCTCAAATGAAAGTCGCGGTACTGTCAGTTGCATATAGAATAACAAAATTGGAGTCTTACAGTAATCGCCAAAGAAGTGTAACATCTAACTTAGTTCCACGATTACTAAATCGAACAAAGACAAAGAGACTTGCGTCTTCTTTCTGTTTCTCCCTTTTTCTCTTTAAGTACCAACTGTACGAAGCATTGATTGAATAGCACGCGCTTCCCCCTCTCTAACATTCACTTACGCATTTCCGTTGCGTTTAAGAAATTACTCCCATAGCCCCATATATGCACATACCCAATGGTAAGATGTTACACGTCAATAAGTTTACCACATTTGTTCTTCTCTTACCTGATATTCAGGAACACTGTACAAAATGACTTTTCTATTGGCATCACAAGCAACAAGATATTTATCATCTGGAGAATAGGCCACGTCGGTGACCGGTCCCAAGTGCACCAATTCAGTCTTGAAAGTCAAAGATTTCCCTTCAAGCTCATAAATATAAACTTTATTGTCAGAAGCGCTACCAACGGCCACCTGATTTGACTGTGATATACTAACACTTGTCGGTTCATATTTTATAGCAACACTACTGACTTTTCGACATTCTTGAACAACAATCAGCTCACGAATAGTGCCTACTATAAGCAGGTTGTTCTCTTTCGACACGTCCATGCCCCGAGGCTGAGCTCCTAATTTTAAATTATCCGAAGTATAAACGTTTCCTGTTAAAAAAAATGAAAAACTATTTTTAACTCTAGAGAAATAAGCATCCTAAATTTATTATTTTCTGTAATTATTTGCAAGTTAAACTTCTTTTTATCTGATTTAAAATGTTTGTTCATTAAACAATAAATATAAAAAAAAATAAATCAAATTTAAAACTAAACATATATTTGTTACCTTCAATATCGACTTGTTTAAGGCAGTCATCAATACCACATGTAAAGAGTGAACTACCCAAGGCTCTCATACCATTTATTTGGTTTCCGTGTCCTTGCCCTTCAATTCTTTCATTTTCCCCTGTACTTGCATTCCACCTGTAAATAAATGAAAGCTTAGCTCAAATTAATTCAACTACAAACTGAAAAATATTTTATTTTACCTGGTAATGTATCCATCGTGGGACCCTGTAAATATCGTGCTACGGTCTTCACTTAAAGTCAAAACAGTAATGGGTTTATTGTGACCTTTAACTATACGCAGAGGTTTCTCGGGGTTATTGATATCTAAATAATTAATAAATCCACTAAGTGATACCGAAAGTAAATGGGGACCTTGCCATAAACATGACACCTAAAATAGCAATGTGGAAATAAAAATATTTTAATATCTTCTTGCGTATATTAGACGTGCCTGTTGATCTTCTACAGTGCTTCCCATAATAAATTCAGACACCATTTGTCTAGTTTCTACGTCCCATAAACGGGAAGTTTTGTCCCCACTAGCAGTAAGTAGTTGTTTACCATCAGGACTCCAAGCAACCCCATAAACACCTCCATTATGGGCAGGACTACCCACTTCTCCAATTAATTCTGATGTATTTCCATCATATAAGAACACTTTCCCATCAAAACCAGCCGATGCAAATAAATTACCACTTGGGGAATACCGTACAGCTTGTACAAAACGAGTATGATCCTAAATTCAAAATCGTTATAAAAAATTAGATTATCAAACTGTTTTTACAAACCTGTTTAGTCATCTTAAATTTAAAAGGAGGTCCTTCAAAAACAGCAATCGTATTATCCTCAGAACCTGTGATTATTCTAAAAGGTCGATTTGGTTTAAAGTCACATGAATTTATGGGTTTAGACTGCCCTGAAATTTCTCCCACAGAAGTACCAGTTTCTGACATGAAAACATGACCAAAACGTTCTCTGCCTTCTCCAACAACAACCATTCTTTGGTTGTCAGGGGACCATGCAATATCTTTAATTGGCCCCCCAAATGGATGAAACTCATTTTTAAGAATATGCTCTTTGTTAACTGTGTCCCAAATACGAACTTTACCAGACTGATCTAAAAATTTATTTGTAAATTATTAAGCACATAATAGGAAGAAATGCTTATTACCCCCAGATGCTATATAGAAACCACTAGGAGAATATTTTGCAACATTCACAGGCAAGGAATGTTCAGTATAAATGTCTGATATTTCAGGGTTCTAAAAAAATTAAATAAAAGTAACATATTTAAAACTTATCAAAGTATAAAATGGCAATTACATAAAATAAATTTTAAATGTAAGTATGTATTAACAGGGCAAAGTACCTAATCATTTGAAAAATTAATTTCATGATTAATTACTGAAGATTANGTAACATGTGAGATCTAATTTCGGAAAATAACTACTCAAACAAATCTGAAAGCCCATTCATAGCACTTCAGTTATACGACCACCGAGGTGATCGTGGTCTACCTCTTTTAATTTTTTTTTAACAACAAAGGCACCACTGGTTGGTGAAATTAGTGAACCTTATTTATATCGTAATTGTAAATCTTTTATTCCCAGAATACTTGCTCTCTTTAATATTCCCAATCAGTAATTAAAACATTGTCTCGAATATTAATGCACTGTTTTATCAACTAACCCTTTTCGATCTTGTACTACATTGACAATGTGTTAATTTCTGTATTTAATAGTACGTAGGGGCTGATTTCGGTAATTAAAGAATCAAAGCTGAAAGCATCTCCATTGTTTCCGTTATCGGGGTGGTTGCGGTTTACTTTTAATATTTTTACTTGCTCTCTTACTAGTCCCAAACAGTAATTAAAAATTTGTCTTGAATATGAATGCATTTTTGTACAAAATAATCCTTTCTCACCATATGGTACAAGGAGAATGTAATAATTTCTGTATTTAATATTACGTAAGGGCTGATTTCGGTAACTAACGGATCAAAGTTGGAAACATTTCGAATGTTTGAAAGCCCTGCGATTATCGGGGTGGTTGTGGTCTACTTTTAATATTTTTTTTATATCAAAAAAGGCTCCCTTAGCTTTAAGACTAGTCGACCTTATTTTGAGCGTCATTATCTGTCTCTCATTATCCGAATACTTGCTCTCTTTAACAATGGTCTGATTGAACGGTCGACTGAGAGAAGATGACATTTTTCCCTAGTTTTAATATAAATAGCAATTATAAATTTGTTTTAAATATTAATTCCTGATCTTTATATAAATGAAACCTTTTTGAACTTGTATTACAAGGAGAATGTGTTTGCTTCTACATTCCATACAAGGTGGGGTAATTTCTGAAAATAATGCCTCAAACAATTCTGAAAGCCCTTCCCTTGATTTTAAGCTAAACCATCATCGAGGTGATTCCAGTCTACTTTTAAATTTTTTTCAATAAGAAAGGCCCCTTTATTCCTTACGATTTGTGGACCTTATTTAGATCGTAATTATGTATCACTTAATATCCGAATACTTGTCCTCTTTAATAGTCCTAAACTGTGATTAAAAAATTGTCTTGAATATTAATGCATTTTTGTACGTAACAACCTAGGAGATAGTTTGTGAGATGGTCTGAGGGTTATTTACCGGTTGTGAAACTCTGCAATACTAATTTATTATTATCCAGGGGAAGTGGTTCTGTCCAAATAATTTTTGGTATTCCAACGCCACGAGCCATTTAGGATTATACTACGTCTATGAAATAGTTTGTCAGGGGGTCTGACAGTTTTTTACGGGGTGCGAAACCCTCTAATATTATTTTACTATTATGCAGACGAAGTTGTTCTTGTTTGACAGTAATTTTTGTTATTCTAACGTCACGAACCATTTAAGATTATACTATGTCTATGAAGTAGTTTATCATCAGGGGGTGTGAGGGTTATTTTCCTGGTGCGAAAACTTCCAATACTAAAATAACATTTTTTCATGTTGTTCAGTTTAATGAATCTTTTTTCAAGACTTTTCAAACGTTCAAAATAGCCTCACCATTCACCTGCAGGTAATTTTTGTCGAGACCCTTCACTATAATAAAGCTCCTATTTCTGTTAAGAATAATTTAGCTTTATTGCAATAATTTCTGAAATTAAAAAGGTGAAATATAAAATGTTTTAAAACTCAAAAAAGTCTTTGATTTTGTCTATAGTTTATTTTTTATTTCCATTACTTTTGCAGGGTATTCGTTTTATTTCATGTATTGTGCAATTCTGTGTAGTTTAGTATATGATAAATGAAAAATTTAATTGTAAAACTCAAAATTTTCACTTAAAAACATTGAGAAACGTAAAACACTTTTCGACACCCTAGATGACTAGAGACTGAATTAATCTAAATTCTAAAGTTTAATATATATATATACTATCTGTTTGTTTGTTTTTTTTACACAGGAGTCTAATGTAAATAGGAGCATCTTATGCTTTTTTCATATCATTCAGTAAAGGATGAGTTCAATAAGGTCCAATTTCTACATTAAAATAAAGAAATATCATATATTTTTGTATACTACCTNTAAATAATTTCCGGTCTCTGCAACCGCAAATTGAACAAAAACACACCCAAAAGTTTTAAACAGAAAGGAAGAAAAAATCAAAGGAAATCAAAATGTATTAAAATTGAAAGTATAAATAATGAAATTAGATGTACTTACTTAAAGAAGTCGACATTTTACTATAATTTACTCAAAAAACAGAATTGCAGGAAAAACCTCACTTTACCGCTAACCTTTTTATCCTTTACTTGCTTTTACCATAAGTGGAGATGTCGTTTACAATCGTCATTTGACGTTTCTTAGCGTGATTGCCAAACTTCTTTAATAGTAATCATCCTGCAATAATAATTTATCCCCAAATTTACGTCATCGCAGTTCTGAAGAAATAGATACATTTTCTTCTAAATCATAATTTGTTATCTAATATATCGTTTTGATTTTTATTTGGTTAGTTAGATAAATACCGCTTTTAATTCATCAGCTTCATTCCTTATGTTGATTCTTTATTTTGTTATTGAGAATCGTGTTCTTTCAAAAATTAGCACGTGTTTCAAATCGTCGCCATGTTGAAATTTACAGATTTTGGTTAAATTTTTTCATTTTTAGTTACTATTCTTAAACCAGATTCTTTAATTACTATTATATAGTTACCTTTCTTGTTCCTAATTTACAACTTCTTATTATTAACATTAGTATAACATGAAATGCGTGTATGTATGAGTGCACATCCTTATGGTCCTGATATAAAACTTCATAATAAATTAATACATTTACGCATGTCACTAAAGACACAATATTTGAGAATAACGTTTACGAAAATATAATTATAATAAAATGTGTGAAGAAGAAAGTACTAATTCAAGTGAAAATCTAATGAAACCGAAAATTTCTGATTCTGAATTTAAATTTGAGATTTTTATACCTCAAAAAGATATTTTTGGTATAAGCATAGAAACTGATAAATCTAATTCTTGCTATAATTCTTATTTTGTTAGGAATGTATCAAAAATCTGCTCTAGAACTGGAAGAGTGGATAAACGATGCAAAAAAGCCATCGGTACGTTTCAACTCCTCTTTCAATGCTAGAGCTAACGATCTCGAACAAAGAGGAATATTGACGTATTCAATGATAGCTGATAATTCTTCATTTATAGAAAGGGGGCCAATAAAGAGGAAATTCGTAAGATGCAAATGCGTCCTTTCAGGAAAAGTACCTATTTCCCTTTTTCGCCATTATTTAATATTTAGTAGTAGGTATTGATGATTGCATTTTTTCTACATAGTTGTTGAAAAATATAGATGTCTTGTCATTTCATCACTACCTATCATATCTTGACTTATCGTGGAATAAACTTAAGAACTTATCGCCTTTGGGAGAATTGCCCTGTTTAATGTATTTGGATGTGTCTCACAATTTGCTTGAGCGGGCCTTCAACTTCAAGGCTCCACACAATTTAATCTACGCAAATTTTTCTCATAATAATATTAAAAAATGCGTTCGTATTTTCAATTTTTGGTCCCTTGTGGAAGTCGATTTATCTCATAATTTTATCAAGGAAATTAACAGAGGATTCTTGCAGTTAAAGTGAGTATGAATAAACAAAGGAATGTTTCATTACCTAGAGGGATATTTCAAAATAAATAGGAAATCCTTTTTGTTTTGTTAGATTTTTAAAGAAACTTGATATGTCGTACAACCTATTAGCAGTAGTAAAACATTTAGAAAAATTAAAAATTGTCTCTCTCGACTTGGAACACAACAACATCATTTACAATATCCAAGATGAATTTGCTGCCAGTGAACCTTCAGAGGCTGTGGACGAGAAATGGCGAGAGGAAGAAGAGCACGAATATTCAGAAAACGAATACGGTGAAGAAACAAGCGAAGAACTAGATTTAAGTACTTTCGAAGAAGTGTGGGGAGAGTCGGACCATGAGGAGGAAGAAGACGAAGAAGAGGAAGATGAAGAGGAACGTGAACAAGAAATCAAAACCGAAATTGACATAACCGACGGATCACTACTGCAAGTGATATTTACCAGAAAAAAACACCGTCGTTTACCAAATCTCCAAGGCTCCCAAACAAGATTGAACACAGAAACTTCGTACCAATCCGTTCCTGATAAAGTAATAGCGGCAGCGTTCAACAGCTCTGTGCTTCCTATGCTAAATCGAGCTTTTGGAGGGAGGAAGAAAGTGAAAAAGAAATTGAGCATGCCATTAAATTTCCAGTTCAATACTTTGGAACGTTTAACATTCGTTAATCTGGCAAATAATGAACTAAAGCGATTGGGCATATTCAAAAATGCTTTCAATTTAGAGAAAATTGTAGTGTCACAGAATCAGATAAGCGATCTCTCTGAAGTCAGAAATTTGGAAGGTTTAAGATTTTTACTGGAACTTGATCTTCAACATAACCCTATATGTTCTAATAAATATTACCATAAAGTAATTTTACATTCAGTACCACATTTGAGAATTCTTGATGGCGTTCCAGTGGAAATAGTCAAAAAGGTGTGCATCTCGTTTATTTAATCATTCTTTCCTTCTCAAATCTCTCCCTAATAACTTCCCTAATTTTTTCTCAGTTCTTAAACAATCTTAGTTGAGTAACTTTTCACTCGTGGATAAACTTGCAATTCAATCCATTTTATTTAGATAACAGCCATGCAGTTCCATAACAATATGTTCTGGAACATGAATAGACCTATAAATTAATGGATTATGTCGTTTAGTAACAAACTGGAGTTTTACCAGAATTTTCAAAATATCCCCATTTGAGCATAAGAAAAATGAAAATATTCAATTTCTTTTATTTTAATTATTGTGACCTCGGACATCATTCATGACGATGGCAAAGAGGGTCACCTAATATTTTATTTTAGGTGGCCACCGATGAAAAATTCAAGCCAAATCTAGAGCTGCAAGCAGCTGAACGATTTGCAAAGTTGCAAATCATTACCCAATTTACAAATCCTCCCATCACTGCCATTTTACCAGTGTCTCAACCTCCTCCTCCGCTTATTGTACTCGTTGGCTTATTTGGGTGCCGTCACGATATTCTTGCGAACATATTTTACGAAAATAATAAAAGGTTCATTCAAAATGACTTTGTTCTTTCCCACTGTATCATAAGCATTTCTTAATAAGGCTTTTGGAAATGGCCACAACGTATACCACTAACCCTCGAAACAGTATCGAGGCTACTTTTTGTAGACAAGAAGTGATAGTATCAGTGGAAAAATTCGATGAAATGGTTAGAGAAGGAAGGTTGATTACTGTATCCGAAGAAATAGGTTTTGACATAGGAATTTGTAAAAAAAAAAATAGGAAATCGACAAGAATTAAAGATGATAAGGTTCTTTTTTAGCTTCAAGGGGGTTGGACCAAGTCTACGATAAGGCGTTTTTGTTGTATACAGATCTTGTTAATGCCCTGACTTTACGATTTAGATGTCTAAGACCTACCCTGATCCTTGCTTTGCCAGAAACGGAAGAATTACACATAACGTGGCTTTGCAAACCGAGGAAAGTACCTACTTATTATCACCGTACCTTCAATTTGACAAAACGATCACCTTTGTTTTAAAGAACAAAAGTTCATCCCTTCATTTTTTTTTCTCACTGTTATATGCAGGAAATCGGATATAGCAAATTTAACCGACAAAGCTCACAAACTCTCCTTACCAACTGATGAATTTTGGGATCATGGCGAGGAAGGGCCAACGTATGAAAACTACGAAAACCAATATCAACCAAATGCTTCAATGTTTGGAAATGGTGAATTTGATGAGAAATGTGCTGAAGATGAACAAACAGAGTGTCCATTATTTTTCTTGTCTCCTGCTACATTAACTGAAGACGACCAGAATGAAGTGACAAACGAGGAAAGGTCGATTTACAAAGATGAGGTACCTACTCACTCAGTATTTGCTATAAACGGTTTTGAGATATATCTATCAATTTTTTAAATTTTTAAATCGAAACTGAATATGAGAAAATTGTTGAATTTAATTAATCGACAGTTTTATTCGACGTTGGATACTTCGAATCCCAACGAATTCACTATCGAAGAGGAAACTGAAAAAATAGAAGAGAGTGGTAAGTGATAATAATCATAATATCAATTAATAAACAACTTTTATCGCAAATAATCGCAGATAGTACAAAATTGAACAAGTTTTGTATTAAGAAAATATTACAAACTAGACGTGAATATTTAGAATTTCATGAGGAAAATCCCGGTGTTATCGAAGAAGTGGTAAGTTCCATTAATAATAGCACCAATAAATAATTTATTTTAATTATTTTTTAGGTTTTTACAAACAGATTGGACCAATCGTGTGAAATTCTTGATAATGTCCTTCTAAAACGTTTAGCAGATCAAAGAAAACAACGCCCTGTATACGATTTGACCAAAGATCCTTGTTATAAAACGATGACCGATCACAAATTACGTATTTTGTCGACCGAAACCATGAAATTTGATTTTTAGTTTGTAATTGAAATTTCTTGTTGTTGTTAAATAAAAGTTGCACTTTTCAATATTTCATAATGTGTTAAGGTTATTTTATAAGACAACCTAATATATTTATTATCGTTTATTCGCTTTGAATATTTATCCGTATATGTTTTTGGCGGTTTAAATCAAATTCAAATATTGGCGGCTTAAACATGTGACGTGTATGGTGACATTTCACATTTTATGGAACAGAGAGGACGTTACTGTGTATTTAATTTTAGTGCGCAAGCCTGAATGTCTCTTTTGGATAGTCCATCTTGACCACATGTGAGTACTATTTTCTTCCTACAGTTTTTCGTACGTTTAATCAATAATAAGTTATAGCGGTGGTTACAGTTTTAAAAACGAAGAATTAACGGCCGTAAGAAATAGTTTAATAACGACTCGTGTGTGACTGAAATTGTGAGGTACAAACGTTTTATTTCGGTATCTTTTTCCTTTATCACGCCATGTTTGCAAAAATTTTATCGAAATTTGCAATATTAGCGATAATTTCGCTAATATTTTATTAAGCTACGATGGATTTGCTCACAATAAAACCGGTAAAAGTGCCGAGTTGAAATAGCTGTCAAATAAACCCATTTACCCTAACGACCTGCAGCACAGTTCGTCCACATGTTTGTCTAAAGCCGCGTGTCGGTTGTTACACCCCAGCATTTTTTTAAGCAAACTATTTGGAACTGTTTTAATTTAATTCCTGTTTGTTTCAGTTTGTAAGGTTAGAAAGTGAATAAAAATGGCTGACATTGAAGACACCCACTTCGAAACTGGCGACTCTGGGGCCTCCGCCACTTACCCAATGCAATGCTCAGCCCTACGTAAAAATGGTTTTGTTATGTTAAAAGGACGACCTTGCAAGATTGTGGAAATGTCTACATCTAAGACAGGAAAACATGGACATGCAAAAGTTCACTTAGTCGGAATAGATATTTTTACAGGTTGGTTTGGCTTTTTGTATTAATAAGGAATTTAGAATATTATCAAAATATGAATGAATTAAATAGTCATGCTGTAAACTAAAACTTGATAAATGTTCTAACAGCAGTAGTAAATTTATGCTGTAAACAATAACCTATCATTCTTAATTTATATCTACTCATTGTATTCCATGAGTACTGTTTATGTGTAGAATTATTATTCAAACTGTTCATTTAGGTACTAAAATTATTTTATAAATACGTTTATTTTTGTTATTTCTGTAGGTAAAAAATATGAAGATATTTGTCCCTCAACTCATAATATGGATGTACCACATGTAAAACGTGAAGATTACCAACTCACAGATATCTCAGATGATGGATATCTATGTTTAATGGCAGACAATGGAGACCTTCGTGAAGATCTGAAGGTGCCTGAGGGTGAAGTAGGCCTGCAGCTTCGTGCTGAGTATGATTCTGGCAAAGATATTTTGTGTACTGTGCTCAAATCTTGTGGCGAAGAGGTAAGGATTTTCAATCTTATCTGTTTGTTTGTTTTTTTTACACAGGAGTCTAATGTAAATAGGAGCATCTTATGCTTTTTTCATATCATTCAGTAAAGGATGAGTTCAATAAGGTCCAATTTCTACATTAAAATAAAGAAATATCATATATTTTTGTATACTACCTGCCTGATAGCAAAGTGGCATTGTAAACAAAGTATTTATTTATTTATTCAGAACCAGATACAAATAATCATACAATTCAATGCAATATAGCAGACTCAATCAGAGTTCATGTTATTTATCATTATGTTTCTTGGGCTACTTTTTATAAGTAAAAATTATTCTTGCTTTCTAAGCAACAATCCAATGTTTCTTTTACTACACTGTAAATAAGCACGCCTCTTTTTTTTTACTCACATTACTTTAATATAACTTGAGTATGGACTTTATTGAATTTATTCATTTTGATGTTTAATTTATTCAACACATTCATTTTTCTTACTCTTACAAATGGTAGTTCAGGTTTTACGTACAAGAAATGAATTTACTGAATCAATGTCAAAATTGATCATCGTTGACTTTTCCTGCTTCTTAAAGATAAAACTGCATCAACTGCAGAAAAGTCGTGGAGATGTAGGCAACAATTTTTGTTTAGTAATTGTTTCATTGGAAATCAATTCTAATTGATTTTTAGTTAATTAATGAATGGAAGTCGATAAGAGTATAAAAATGGCCCTTCTAATTTTGTTTCTTGTATATGTGCTTATCTATTTCAGAACAATTGCGATTCTTCCAAAAGTTCAACATAGTTATTTTGGTGGTCAAACTTGGCTAAAAAATTTTGCTAATTGTACGAGTTTTTTTTTCTTATAGATTATAGATCCATATACATGTAATTTATGAAAAATATGTTTCAGAATATGAGTGGTACATTCATTCACTAAGTTTAAAAGATCAATAAAAATGGAAAGTGCAAAACAATTTGCGAAAATCCCAAAAAAGTTTGACCTCTAAAATAATTGCGTTTTACTATGTTATGAATTATTAGAATTAGTATAAGAAGCAATACAGAATTTATCTATTAAAAACAGAAAACAAAATAAACACTGTTATGGTGACTATTTTTATACTTTTATCCACCCTGCATCATAGTTCACTACAGCAGAGTTGTCAGTTATTAGGGCTTTTAAAGTTTAAACTAATTATTTAGTAAGATATAAGTCATTACAATTTATTTTTATTTTTTAGGTGGTAATTGCTGTGAAGACAAACACTGCCTTAGATAAATAATGGGCAGCTTGTGGCGAGGGGGGTGCGTCGATTTTAAGAAATAATAATAAATTAATTTCCCATTTCCTTCATTACCACCACCTCTACAACCACCACTTCTGGCACCCTTCTCGTGTTCCATAATAATAACCGAATAATAATAACAATAAAACAACAAACAATATACAAAAAACTTATCAATCAACCAAAAAAAAATATAAATAATGGTGGTAATTGCTGTGAAG